ACAGTGAATTTTTTACAGACTTCAAACTTTTCCCAAATCTCAAAAACCAGGATGATAAAAACTTAGTAAGATATGAAACAATCTGTAAAGAAGTGGGAGTAAAAGCTCACAGGAAAGCACCACAATGCTATCTCTAAGATACATGCTAAACTTAAAAGAAAAAGAAGGAATGAAGATTTCAGAATAGTATCTGTATGAAGATATCAGAGATTGGGGAGAGCTGATTGTTTTAATATTTGCTTCCATTGTATCAAGCACCACAGCTTCCAACAACCACTCTGAGTTAAAATACAGCATCAGTTCCTCTCCTTTTACACTGAGAGACTTTCTCTGGATAACCTGCTATGTCAGACAGCAAAAATAAACCAACCAAACAAAAACTCCAAATCAAACAAATAAAAATAAAAGCAAAAGTCTTTATTCTTCCTCGGGTCTAAACAGAGCCATTCTCTGTTTAGGAGACAGGACCCTTCACAGAAAAGCAAATAAACCCATCACATTAAATACTTCAGAGGAATTATGGATCCCTCTTTCTTGTAAGAAACCCACGCTGCCATTTCTCTAGCCAAATCGTTGTATGTCATATTAAATCCACACAGAGGCCAGAACACTTTACCTGCCGCCAGAACAGGTTTGTTCACTAGTCCCTGAAACATTGCCACAATGACACAAAATTGCAAGATTTGGAGAGTCTTGTGAAAGCATCCTGAGTAATTACACTCGCCAGCTTCGAGGCAGAATTTAACTCGGATATTACAGTTTGCGCCAATATTTTTCAGGGTAAAAGCACAGCGATGTGCTACTGAAAGAAGTCTGAAACTTAGTTTCCATCTGTGATCTGGCAGCAGGGCTCCTCCCACCAGCACCAGGCTAAGAGGATGCCTAAACTGAATCAAAGGAAAGAGAGCAGACAGCCTCCCCCAGGCCTGGCTTCCTCTGGAGACCTCAAACACAAGCACTCCCTGAAATTGAGAGTAATTAGCCTACAAATGCTGAAGGAAACGTAGCTAACAGATACATTGATGGGATCCACATCTTCTCTCTCTCATCACAGCAGGAGCTCTCACCAAAGGATAACATCTGAAAGACACATCCCAGGGATGCACGCATTGCCCCATCTCCATGAGCTGTTTCTCTGGAACTCTGTCCAGACCTGACTGGGCTTCAGAGCAATTATTTAGGGATCTTGCAAAATCAGACAGAGTTTTTGCAAGGCCACAAATTCCAGGGGTGAGCTATCTGCATGGAAAGGTACATTACACAGATCCTTCCTGGAGCAGCTGTTTTCAGAAGTGGAGAGAGGCTATTTATAGAGTGCCACTTGATTGCCAGTTCACATGAAACTAAAACACTGAGTAAATAGGAAACAACAATTAGTTCTCAGATGCCTTCCTTCAAAACATGGTCACAGTCCATATTTCTGGTATTTTACACTGCAGCACAACACAACCATCCCAGTGAAGGGTTCATTATGCAAGTACCATCCAAACAGACACACTTTCCTCCCAACTGCATTCTTAGTCATGGACTTGCTACAGTGCTTTTCCTTTGATTTCGTGGCTGAAAAAGTGCAGCAAGCAATGAAAAGATATATAAATTACTTCATTTTGTACCGGTATCCATAAGTGTTTAGACAAATTTGCAAAAAAATAATTTGCCAAAAATAAAGCACATGGATAATGCCTTCAGTCTCCCAACACTATTCTTAAGTTAAAATTAAATTTGTGTCCTCCATTTGTTCTATCTGCCAGACCACTGAAATACTACTAAAGATAAAGAAATTATAAATAGGAAGAAGCCTTATTTATTAATTATAAATAGGAAGAAGCCTTATTATATATAAGGCTTATTTCCCACACAGATCAGATCAGCAGTGACACCCACCTGACCGCTGCAGTCTTGGACCAGTGGGCCAGAGAACAAAGCTCCTACATAGAGCTGCTGAAGTCTGAAAGAGAAAAGACCCACACCTACACTGTCCTGCACACAAAAAGGCACAACAGGCCTCTTGTCTGGGAAATCTGCACTTGAACCACCACATCTGACTAGCAGTCAAACTAGTGGGTTTATTAAGGCCATAAATGTCATTTGGGGTAAAAGTGTGATGGTTCCACAAGAAAATCACACCCCGTACCAATCCCCGAGTGAAAAGTAGGAGTCAGTAGGGACTGAGCATTTCTTGCCACCACCAATGCAGATCTCAACATCAATTCAGTGTGAAGGCTCTCCCAGGTCCTATTTTTTCAAGGCTCTGAAAGCAACTGAACTTGTTTAGGTGAAAGGAAAAACAGTAAATATGAGACCTTAACCAAAGTAGCAGAGTTTTGTTTTTAACTAAAGTTATGTGCATTTTATTGGAGCAGCATCCAGAAAAGACATCTTGGTACGTTTGGGAAGATGATTTCTACTGTTCAAATCTTAGTACTTCAACTGCCAGAGACACAATCAAGTAAAAGTAGCAGAAGAAAAAAACAAAAAAAGGTCTTTTCAAAAAAAATGTGTGCTTCTTCGGAATCTGCATGCTACAATCCTAATTTTAACATTGAGCTTTTCTGCTCCAACTGGAGCAGACAAAAAGAAAAAAAAAAATCCAGACAGAAGGGTAACTAAAAGTTAGAACAATCCTCAGCTAACGCTTGGCCAAGCACAGCTTGAGACATAACCAAAATCAAAAGCAGCTAGATCGTTAGTTCTCAACCTTTTCTTTTTATTTCAGGACTCAAAATTTCTTTCCAAGGGACTTGTGTGCTGCACACACACACCCCCCCCGCTCCGTGATCGGTATAAACCTACTAGCAATAACCTTGATTTCCTCGATTAACCTTTTGTGGATTACTGAGTGCTCGGGGACTACAGACAGAAAACTCCTAAATTAGGCTCTGTAATGCGATATCCCACCTCAAATTCCACCAGGAAAAAAACCAAACGACAGACCATTAGCACCGACATTACCAGCCGGGAAAGCCGGGGAGGCACAGAACGACACTCGTTTTACAACGCTGTAAATCAAGCTCCATCTCGAGTACTCGAGGTTTCCACTCCAAGGCAGGAATTGTTTTGCCACACGAGCACAAAAGAACGCGTTCCACCGAGCCATCTACCCTGCACACTCCCCGAAATCCACAGGGCCACTACGACGGACCGCCACACATCCAACAACACGTGAATAAACACCGGTTTTTAAAAATATTTTTTTGGTAGCGTTTTATTACAGAACCTGCGCCATGACAAAGAATGTCGATAGTTCCTTCACGCCACAGAAACCTCCCCACGGCCTCGGAAACTAGAAGTGGCGGTGGCTTTAACTTGGAAAGTGAAAATACCTGGCTTGGGCGCGGAGGCGAGGGCAGCCCGGGGCTGAGGCGCCTGCGGGGACCCCGCGGAGCACTTGGGGACACAAAGGGCGGGCGGATCGGCCCGCGCCGAGCGCGTTCCAGCGTCTCGGCTTCTCCCGGAGCCCCGGGAGCACCTGGAGGGCGCCGGGACAGCGGCCGCGCCATGATCCCGGAGGAGCTTACGTGCTTTGTTCCCAGCCTCCGGCAGCTTAGCGCCGGTAAATCCGGACCCTGCCCGGCCCCGGCGCTATTTTGAGCCGCCGCCCAACTTCCCGGCTGGATCTCCGCGTGCAACAGTTCCTTCGGGAAGCAAGGGCGGCGGGCGAGCGGAGGGACCGGGGGGTCCTGGCGGGCCCCGCGCCACCCCGGGACCAAGGAGGGATGGGGCCGGGGTGTCCCGGACCACCCCTGAGGGCGCGGAGGGCCGGGGGCTGGATTTGGAGAAGGTGTCGCCGCCCCACACGGGGCACAGGAAACTTCGAAGCTGCGGGACAGCGCGGCCGAGCGAGGGAGCGGTGGCGCCTGGAAGGGGCTCCGGGCTCCCTCCTCGCTTGGTGGGGCGCCAAGGACGGCCGGACCTCGTCCTCACCACCCCTCCCCACACCGCCCGTCCTTACCGAGGTAGTGCCTGCGCAGCAATCCGGGCTCCTCCAGCCCCAGGGTCCGCTTCCGCACGTCCCAGAGCAGGGACATGGCCCCGCGCGGGCGGGAAGGGCGCGCGCGGAGCGGGGGGGATGCGCCGGGACCGGCCGGGCGCGCGCGATCACCATGGGAACCGCCGAGCGGGCCCCGCGCGCGCGCCCCACGCCCGCCTCGCGCCGAGGCACCGACCGCGAGCCGGAGGCGCGGCGGGGCCGGGCCACGCCCCCCGCGAGCGGGGG